ACGTTTTGATTTTCAAATAAACACTTGTCAACTTCAGTAATCAGTTTGTCTCGTTCTCCCTTCTGATTCCTCTGACCTCTCTTACTTTGGCGCATGTCATCACTGTCACCATCACTGCCTCTTGACAATTCCGGGTTTTCCTTTAGATTTGCTGGTCTCGTTACTACCTTTTTCTCTTTTGCTTTTTGTTCCATGGATGATCCAACTGCCTTTTCACCATCTTCCACATTATCACTGCTTTCAGGATCAATTTTATCCTTCTTGCCTTTTAATTCCGGTTCTCTCTCTTCTGTGTGTTTCTCAACATCAAGCTTTGCTGCCTCCATGCTTTTCAGCTTGCTAAAGACTTCTTCTACTGCCTCTGTCATCTTATGCAGGATGTCAGTAGCTTGATTACGGGGTCCCTTGTCCCCACACACCCTGCTGGAGGCAATCTGCAAAACATCAGTAAGGGCAGCTCTATACTCCTGCTGAGCGTCCCTCAGGTTCTTAATCTGTGCAGCCAGGAAATGGTTGGTGTTTTGTTGTATAGCAGTTGCCTCTTGTTGTACAGCAGTTGCCTGTACCAGAGCCTTCAGCAGGTCCTCCATTATAGCACCAAGCAGGTAATAGTCTTAAAGGTACAGTGCTACTATTTTTTTTTTTATTTTTTTTTTAAACAGGTCTGCAAAAATAAAAAGTCCTCAAGCAGACTACTGAATGACTGGCACACCCACAGACCCTCAATTTGCTACTATGCCCGCATTCTCCACCATATTGTGATCCTTGTTTGCAGGTAGCACGGTCCTCTAGGGCAAAAACATGCACAGTCCTTGTAGTTGCAAATACTCCAGGCACTTTATTTGTAAGTTCACACAGGATACAGCAGTTAAATGAAAACATAAATGTAACAGAAAACCCTATAAACAAAAAACCTAGCTCGTCTGAGCACTAACTGACATAAGTTTCCCTATCTCTCAGGGTTACACTAAACAATATTGCACCAACCTTTTAGATAGCAACACTCTGCTATCTAACCTGTTGCTTTCCTTTCTGCACTCCCAGTGCTCCAAGCCAGCTTTGCACTGACTGCTTTCCTTTCTGCACTCCCAGTGCTCCAAGCCAGCCTTGCCCTGACTGCTTTCCTTTCCGCACTCCCAGTGCCTAGTCTCTTTGACTCTATCTGGAGAGATCAGCCTCTCTCCTACCTGCTTCCTGGGAGGAAGCCAGCAATCCCCCTCTACCTGTCTAGCAGGGAGGAGTTTATTCCCACTGCAACAGCTCATTAACTGCAGCTGAGCAGTGGGTTGGAGATGGTCCAAAAAACCCTGGCCTGGATCTATGTCTCCCCAGAAAACCACTAAACTGTGGAGTGGAGCATTGGCCCACCCTTCTCTCCAAATGCTCCACCCCAGGGGCCCATAACTAAACAATGCGTTGTGTTGTGCAAAACACAAACTACACATACTCCCCCTGGGGTTAAAAGGCCTATCTGCCTTCACTTTATCACATTATGCACACCTGATATAGGGTGTTGATGTCATTAGACCACACCCCTTCTCATTACAGAGATGCACATCACCTAATATGCTTAATTGGTAGTAGGCTTTCGAGCCTATACAGCTTGGAGTAAGACAACATGCATAAAGAGGATGATGTGGTCAAAATACTAATTTGCCTAATAATTCTGCACTCCCTGTAGCTCCAAATCCCCCAAACATGAGCCTAGACTTCATGAAGGGGTAAAATTATCTCTTTAAACCAGGCCCAATGGCCTGCTTTTATACAATACAGGTACACAGTAAGCACACCCATGACACTCCCACAACACACCCATAAACACACCTACAAAATGCCCCCAAATGCCATGTCACCATGACTAAGCATAAAATGACAAATATGAAAACACGAAAATGAAACACGAGCGAAATACGGAACGCACACTCTGGCTTCTTGGTAGCGTTTGTTTGTATGAACCATACGAACAAACCTAGTAAATGGCGCTCTCCTGACGTGTGTGGGGAAGGTACAGGCAGTCATCCAAGCTCTGCGGTGTTCGGGAGTTTCAGTATACGATTTTAGTTCCATGGGACCGACGCCCAAACATCGCTGCCTGCATTCTCACGAGGAAGATGGCCACCACTCTGTTCCCATGCGTTCGTGCATGTGAACGGCGGCCACCTAGCCGCACCATTAGAACCCACACTAATTGAAGTGTCAGGAGAGGTTAACAAAGCTCAGAGGTGTCTTTTAATAGTCTTTTAGCATGGTCCATAGACAGGAGGCTAGCCTCCACACTCCTCCAGGAGCCTGTGGCAAACGTCCAGGCAAAGGGGCGTTCGTAACAAATAGAAATATGTCTACATGACACTATTATCGTCAACATTTGTGGACTGTGCAGGTATTTTAAAAGCAAAAAAATCACATAGCCATGTATTCCTATGAGTGAAATAAACAATGCAAATCCTTACCTGCCTCCCTGCTTCATGTTGGATTTTAACAGACGCATGATGGCAGGGCTGGGCTGATGTGGCCTCAGGACTTCGTCCCTTCCTACACGAAGGGATCTGTAGTCAAGAGGTACCAGGATTGGAGAGGCAGCTCATATGTGTCCTTTTTCTGTACTCTCGCTCACTATTGCCAGGGCAGATCATTGTGCATGTGTAGCTGTAAGAATGTAAATGTGCCTGTCTGAGTTTGTGACATTGTGTATCTAAGTGTGTGACTATTTGTGCATGTTTTTGTTTATATGTGTGTGCATGACAGAGTGTGTCTGTACTCACCTCTCCTCTGAGCTCAGTTCATTCAACCCAGCCTCTGAAGCCTCTCTGTAGTTCAGGCTGCATCTTAAACACGAAACCTGTCTGGCAGTGGTGAAGTTTATTTGAGATGGTAGGGTGCTAGGCTCCAGGCCAGTAATTCAATCCCATCCCTCTCTGTAAACTTTGATCCAAACCTGTTGAACTTGGACCACTTAAAGGAATACTATAGGCACTCAAAACACACAAAACCTTAGCTTAATGAAGCGGTTTTAGTGTATAGATCATGCCTCATCAATTCTCTGCCTTTTAGCAGTTGAATCACATTTGTTTCTGCTAATGTAGACCTAGTCACACCTCGTCTGGCTGTGACTGACACAGCTTTTATGGCATGATCTATACACCAAAACTGCTTCATTAAGCTAAAGTTGTTTTGGCACCTATGGTAACCCTTTAATACCCATATTCGAGCAATATATTATGATTATTACTTACAGTGTCACATAATAGCAACATTTATATATATATACACACATATATATTTATATATATATATATTGTATTGTTTTATAAAAAATTATCTTTTCATGCTTTATGACCTTTATGTCTTAACAGTAACATTCCAGTTCAAATACATTGTATTTCTCAAGACACTTAGCCAGCTGAAATGATTGGCTGATTCCAAGGGGAAATGTAATCAGCAAGAACTGCAGTGCTAAAGGTAAGACATTGATATTTAAGGTCACTACTAAACAGTTCAGTTCAATTGCGATATGCAGAGTATCAACCTGACAAGGGAACAATGCTTTCAGTTCATGCCTGACAGATTGCAGTGCAGAGCTATCAGCCGGAGAGAAATACCGCTTAAAAGGGTCTAACAGCGTTATTCACTAAAATGTGAATTAAAAGTGATTCTCAAAATCAAGGTCAAAATAGCAAAACTGGAGGAATTCTCTAAATCGACTATAATTTAAATTTGTCTACTCTTACCTTAAATTTGAAATTCCCTTTGAAAGACACTCAGCAATGCTTATAGCGGAAGTAAAATCTACAAAAGCAATTAAAACTTAACAGGTAACTCTACTATTAAAGGACCACTATAGTGCCAGGAAAACAAACTCGTTTTCCTGGCACTATAGTGTTAATAGGTCCCCCCCACCCTCATGGCCCTCCTCCCACCGGGCTGAAGGGGGAGGAAGGGGTGAAAATCTTACCTTTCTCCAGTGCCGGGCTCCCTCGGCGCTGGGGACTCTCCTCCACCTTCAGATGTCATCGGCTGAATGCGCATGCGCAGCAAGAGCTGTGCGCACAGCCAGCCAGTCTCATAGGAAAGCATTCTCAATGCTTTCCTATAGACGCTGGTGTCTTTTCACTGTGAAAATCACAGTGAGAAGCGTGGAAGCGCCTCTAGCGGCTGTCAATGAGACAGCCACTAAAGGCTGGATTAACCCTCAGTGTAAACATAGCAGTTTCTCTGAAACTGCTATGTTTACAGCAGGCAAGGTTAAACCTAGATGTACCTGGCACCCAGACCACTTCATTGAACTAAAGTGGTCTGGGTGCCTGTAGTGGTCCTTGAACCCCTTAAGGACACATGACATGTGTGACATGTCATGATTCCCTTTTATTCCAGAAGTTTGGTCCTTAAGGGGTTAAGGTTACAAGCATGTATACCTAAACTTAGAATTTCTTCTTAGATATTTAAATTTAGAGCCCCTCTTTTAGAGTAATATAAATAAGATATACATACCTTTTATTTCTTGACATGTGAGTCTTGCCTGTCTAAGACCATCAGTAATGATAATCTTGACAATCCAATGTTTTCCAAAGAGAAGCACTGGGAGATAGGGGGCTACGGCTCATGCGAAGTGCCAAGTATCCTGAGTTATCAGGCCCAATTGTCTACCCTTGGTCAGAAAGGTAAATGAAATCCTTGTCTTGTATTTAATTTCTTTGCCAAACAGTAGGCTCCTAGGTGTCTAACAACGCATGATCTAACTGGAGTA